ATGAACTTTTAAGAGACACATTCGAACTTTAGTACTCTGCCTTAGCCCCCAAATTGGTCTCCTCTGATAGTGCAAGGTATATTCATTCCATCCCAATAGTTCTGAAGTCTTAACTCATTCCAACATTAACTCAAAAGTCTAAACTCCCATCTGAGAATCAAGGCAAACTCCTTTCAGCTGTGAGCCTGTTAAAGCAAAATAAATCATCTACTTCTCAACTACAGCGGTGGGACAGGAATAGAGTTGACACTGCCATTCCTTAAGGGAGAAATAGCTCAGAAGTAAAGAATAACTGGCCCTGAGCAAGTCCAACCCCAAAAGGGCAAAAATTATGTCTTAGAACTGACAGTTTTCATTCCATAAGGCACTTCCTGGACACATTGGAGCAAGAGATGGGCCAACAGGGTCTCGTATGACCTTGCCCTAAGGCCTTTGGTGGGCTCATCCTATTTGGCTGGTATCTGGAGTTGAAGTTGCACATAGGTACCTGTGGCTTCCTCAAGCTACTGCTGTGTGCTGCCAGTAACTTCAACATTGGTGGATCTTAATGGCAACCATCCCATTCCTAAGGCTCCACTAGGCATGGCTCTAGTGGGGAATCCATGTTGTAGTGGCTCTGTCTCTACATCATGGGTATTTCTAACATTGCCCTGCCATGTCTGAAGCTCCCAGCATTCCTACTCTATACTCTTGGAGTCTCCTCTATCAGTTTGCCTGATTCCTGTGCTTTTTTTCTTGGAGCTGGTAAAGATTTGTTAGATTCCTTTTTGGCATTGACCTCTGATTGTTGGCCTCTGAGAAGCATTCAAACCACAGAAATTGGAATCCCTAGTTCTGACCAATGCAGAGGAACTGGGAGACACTGGAAAAATCTCTCCACCTCTTGAACATAATTGTTTATCTGCAGAATAGATTGAATTATTGCAGAAAACAGAAAAAACATGGGAAGAAATGGTACCGAGGAAGTTTAGGAGGAAGTTTATTTCACAGGTGGGCTCCTGACTAGAATCTCTCCCAAAGAGCCAGAGCCCCACTGAGCTGGATTTTGAAGATTTTATAGGGAAAGCAAAAGGGGGTACAAAGGCAGATTCAGTACATTAGGACTGAAATGTTGCGCACAGCTTGGGTTGCTAAGGGAGTTTAAACATTTTAGGTTACGTTGTAAGATCATCAACTATACAAATTATAAGTTATACAGAGAAAAAGACGTCCTGTTACATTTCAAGTTACATTTTATAGCCATCTGTTAAACAAGATTACACAAAGGAAAGAATGTTTCATTGTCAGGTTGGCCCAGGACAGGTTCCCTTTCTAGGTAAGCTTTTATGTAAATATTAATTTCCCTTTTAGAATGATCTCCATGTTGCTTTCAAATATGACAACTATATTGGCTTCCTAAGGGTGCCACCATCTAAGTGTCTTGAAAGAACTGAAGTTGATCTCATAGTTCTCAGACTGGAAGTCTTAACTCCAGGCATCTGCAGGCTATGCTCCCTCACAACAACGGGAAGGCCCCTCCTCACCTCTTCTGTCCTCTGTGTTGTGCCTTAGGTTGAAAATGCCTCACTGAAATCTCTGCTTCTGTCACCATATAACTGTCCTCCCTCCACCTTTCTCTCCTTTTCTCCAAGCATATCAAATTAGAGGTCTATACTACTCCACTATGACTTCATCAGAGCTAATTATACTTGCAGCTCCTCTATTTGCAATGAGGCCCCATTCTGTAATATGGGGGCTTAGGACTCCAACATGTAACTTGGGGATGACAGAGGTCAACCCATAACAACTGTGCTTTACTTCTTTAGAAGTTACTCAGAACTCCATGAAAGTTGAAAATTCCGTTGTAAATGGAAGTGTCATTTACAATTCTTAGATGAGTAAAGTCGATTTCCCCATTGGCTATAAATAAAGTGGTCATAGTGACATGATCAGGTTTTCACTGTCATTATCTTAAACCTAAAGTTGCGATGGTAATCATTATTTCCAGGGAGTATGAAAGAAAATCATACAGTTGTGTTTTCTTCCTTTTTGACCCTGAGTACTTTAAGAGGAAGGAAGTGCTGGTAAAGTCTCTTACTGAACTCAACAATAACACTGTAGTCTTTGCAGAACAAGGTAAGTGTTTTGAATCTAAGAAAAAAAAACAATTCAATATTTCCTGTGCCAGTAACTCAAAATGAAAAATGATCATTATACAGGTTTCACCAGTGTGCAAAGGGCAGAGAGTAGAGTTTAAAACTCATCAGAGAGGAACTGAAACAAAGAAAGAAAGAAAGAAAGAAAGAAAGAAAGAAAGAAAGAAAGAAAGAAAGAAAGAAAGAAAACTCTTACTTGTGATAGTAGAATATTACCACTAGGAAATGTTTTTTTTTTTTTTTAATCTGAGTCATTTTTATTTTTATTTCTTTTCTTGTGTGGGAGTGAAGGAAAAGATTCTCATCTGTCCTATTTTCAGTCTTTGCCTCCACTGAGATTGTACCTGGACTGTGTTAGGCATAGTTCTCTACTTATCCCAGTAAGGATGACACCAGAAACTCAGAGACAATGAAGACTAATGTCTGACTTTCCAAAAAAAGTCCCAAATACAACTGCTCAAGCCAGAAATCTGGGATCCATTGTTGACTTTCCCCTTCCGCCCCTGCACTCAAACCTATCAAGGACTCTTGGCCTGATCTCCTGAGCTCCCCTCCCTTCCAACTCCCATCCCCATCTTCCCAATCATCAACAGACACCCTTGCTCAAGCCACCTGCATCTCTCACCGGTTTCTTGGTACCCACACTGCTACTTCCAAGTCGGTGCCAGCAGCTAGAATGACTGCTGTGAAACATCACAGGTAAGGCTTCCTCTGAATTAAGTTTAAAATCTCAACAAGACCTGCAGAGCTCTCCATGATTGCCATCCTTCTAGCTTCCACACTAAGTAGCCCCACCACGGGTCCTTGACTGGGGCCAAGAACCCACTAGACTCCCATTCAGTGCAAGGTAGGGCCCCACACCACCTCATCCACCAGACTTCACTCAGCTATCCACCACAGAATCCTCCTCCCACCCAATCCTCCACCACAGGATGATGCAGAGGAGCTTTTGTGTGACAGTCACATCTCATTTAGGTGCCCCTTTATTTTCTCTCTTTTCTTAGCGTTTATCAAAAGTTTTCTTGTTTAGATGATAGAGAAAGGAACAAACTGTCTGCAATTCAAATGTCTTTCATTAGACTGTGGGTTCTAGAGATCAGGCACAATGTCTTTTGCCCATCCCTGTGTCCCTGATATTCATTGCCATGCCTGGTACACAATAAAGATTCACAATAAATACTTTTCATGTGACTAGAGGAATGAATGAAATAATAAAGGTTCAAATAGACTTCTACAGCTGTACCCTAGGACAGATGCTACATGAGCAAGGGGGCACACTGTCAAATGTCACATTCTACAGTCTTGCATAGGGATAGTGTTTGTTCACACACCATTCTCCCCTCCTCCACTCTCAATGGCACACACACTGGTTAGCTCTTAGGTACCATAGAGTGCCAACCGTTGTGGCTGCCATGATGTAGATTCCATGTTCCTCTGGGCCTAGCCAAGAATCATTTGCACTCTTAGCTGACTGATGAGCTGTGGCCTGAGCAGGTATGGAATAGACTAAGAGGAAAGCAAGTGAAGATAGCATGGAATAGAAGTAAGCTGAGAACAAAGGTGGAGAGTATGTGAAGTTTCATAAACAAATATGTGATAACAGTGAGTATGATGTCAATGAGCCTAAGGTAGTTCACAGATTCTATGGCACCATTCAAAGCTGAAGTTCCTCATGTTAATTCCACACCATATATAGTCCAAGGGAAAGGGCTATTTAAGTTAAATAGGTTTGGGAACTATGTGTACTTACTGTAGCACAGTATTTCTAATAGGCATTGTGATCTTCAAAAGGGGAACTATCTTAATTACTTTTTTTTTGTAATTGAGACCCAATACCCAACACCAACAACTGTAGGAAGGAGAGATTTATCTTGGCTCACAGTTTGCAGAAGTTTCAGTCTATAGTTGGCTGACTCCAAGACAGGGCGACATGGCAAAGGGACATGGCAGGGGGAAAAAAAAGTTCTTGGTGTGGTGGCAAGAAACACAGAAAAATCAAGGAAGGAGAAGGGAGATGGCCACACTCTCAGTGACCACCTCCTCCAACCAGGCTTCTCCTCCCAACATCACATTTAGCTATAAACATGTCAGTGGACCAATCCACTGATGATTATCAAGCCCCCATGATTCAATCATCTCCCCAAAGCCACACCTATGAGCACATGAGGCTTTAGGGGAATCTAGATATAAACTATAACAGGGACCTGTGTTGCTGTATTTTTCTATGTTCCAAATTTGTTCTTACTTGAACATGGATGTTTGTTTTCCAAATAAGGCATTTTCTAGAATCTCTTTTTCTCTTCCTTTTCTTCCCCTTCCCACTCCCTCTTCCCTTCCTCCTACCATCCCCCTCCCACTAAAAAGTATCTGAGGGCCTGATGGAGATTTACCCAGCCTGTGAGTGCCAGGAGATATTCCTGAGTACATGGTAATGCTTACTTTTCTGATATGGATCATTCCCTTTTAAAAGCACACACAAAAAAAGAAAAACTAAACTATGTGCCTTGAGGTCCTCGTATCCAGAGGATCGGATCTTCTTCTTCTCCTCCTCCTGCTCCTCCTGCTCCTCCTGCTCCTTCTTCTTCTTCTTTAATTTTAGTAATCCTAGGAATTTTTTAACACAAAAAAGATAAAAATAACAATAAAGGGCTGGGGATTTACCTCAGTAGCATAAGCACCTGCCTGGCAAGTGTGAGGTGGTGAATTTGATCCCCGTACCACACAAAAAAATACATAAGTGAAACAGTTTCAAAACAGGTTAGTAGAACAGTTGCAATAATTAATACATTGTGCATTGTTGTCCTCATAGTAGTTATTCCGAGTACAAGACATCACTGGTCATTCAAGAGTTGTAAACTGGAAGCAGCCTGTGTACATCCAGGTCGTCCAGTGTCAGGTGGGAATTACGGGAGAGCCATGCCATTTCTGGGTCAAGACTGGAGATCTCCTGGGTGGAGTTGGATTAAAACTGAAGATGGCTGGAAGAGATGTGACTCCTGTAGTCAGGAGCTTGAAAGAGAGAACAGCCAGTGTACTGTCACTCACGATGTTATCTTAAATAGTGAAGATGAAGAAATATTCAATAATGAAGAGTGCGAATATGCTTACAAAAAACGGAAAAAGGACCATTTCAGAAATGACACAAATGCTCAAAGTTTTTATTGTGAAAAATGGATCTACGTCCATAAAGAAAGCACAAAAGAAAGGCATGCTTATTGTACCTTGGGAGAAGCCTTTAACCGGCTAGACTTTTCAAGTGCGATTCAGGATATCCGAAGATTCACTTATGTGGTCAAACTATTGCAGCTAATTGCAAAATCCCAGTTAACTTCATTGAGTGGTGTGGCACAGAAGAATTACTTCAGCATTTTGGATAAAATCGTTCAAAAGATTCTTGATGACCACCAGAATCCTCGTTTGATCAAAGATCTTCTGCAAGACCTGAGCTCTACTCCATGTATTCTTATCAGAGGGGTAGGGAAGTCAGTGCTAGTCGGGAACATCAATATCTGGCTTTGCCGCTTAGAAACTGTCCTTGGCTGGCAACAACAACTACAGAATCTTCAGATGACTAAGCACGTGAGCAGTGGCCTCACCCTCAGTGACCTGCCCTTGCACATGCTGAGCAACGTCTGGTACCGCTTCTCGGATGGGTGGGACATCATTACTCCGGGCCAGGTGACACCCACTCTGTACATGCTCAGTGAGGACAGGCAGCTGCCGAAGAAGCTGTGTCAGTACCACTTTGCTGAGCAACAGTTCTGTAGACATTTGATCCTTTCACAAAAAGGTCATATCGAATGGAAGTTGATGTATTTTATACTTCAGAAATATTATCCAACTAAAGAACAGTATGAAGACACCTTACATTTTTGTAGGCACTGCAGTATTCTTTTTTGGAAGGACTCAGGACATCCCTGCACTGCAGCTGACCCAGACAGCTGCTTCACGCCCGCCCGTGTCTCCACAGCACTTCATTGATCTCTTCAAGTTCTAGAGACATTCCTCACCCCTGCTGTGCCTGTTGGAGAGTGCACATTGTGCTTTCTGCGTGGTAGCTGGTAGTAGATGTTTACTGTGACCAAAAGTCATGGCAGAATCCAAGGCCTTCATATCCAAAAGGAACATGAGAAACTGCCCTTCAGTCACCAGGTAGTAGGAAGACGTTGTTGGATATTTGCATCTCTGAAGGAGTCAGGAAATTCAAACAAATCATTTCTATTTCTTTCTTTCAAACTTCTCTTCTAAGCAAATTAAAATTTACAATTTTGTATATTTACAAATATAGATCAGAAAATATTTTGGAGCCTAATTCTATGTTGAACTGACAAAACCAACCAAGAATATGTTTCATAGTTGTTAAATTATAGTTTTCCATCTTATAGTAATTGGGGTACAAGATAAAACAACTGATTCTTGTAAATACATTGTGCAGAATATTTATTTTTCTTAAAATGCAATTTTACAACGGCAATGGCTATGCCCATATGGGCCCTCCTTGAGAAGAAGGTGAACCTAGGGAAACACTGGGCATTTTTGCCTTGGTGTTAACCCCGTGGGTAGTGAACTGTGCCAACTGTCCATAGCCAGCAATGGTTGGTTTTCTGCTCCTACATACCCCTGCAGCCAGGACCAAACCTCGGACAGAAGCTCTGCTGAGGCAGGGTGGGACAGCCCGGCAAGGCCTGCACTGGATTTGGATAGTGGGTGCTTCCAGAAACAAGAAACGAACCATAATCTATTTGTTATTCCATTTCATCTGTTTTGCATCTTACTGAGAAAAGTGGTGTTAGTGATTTTTTTATGTCATTTAGACTTTCAAAAGACTGTATTTTTAAAATAATACATGTCTACTTTAAACCTTGAAAATAAGGTATACAAACAAATTAAACTCATCTATAAAAAAAAGAGTTGCAAACTAAAATAACACTGAGATTCCATCTCACCCCAGAAAGAATGGCTGCCATCAAGAAATCAACCAATAACAAATGCTGGCATGCTGTGGGGTAAAAGCAATCCTCCTCTACTGTTGGTGGTAGTGTCTACTGGTACAACCACTGTGGAAATCAGTGTGGAGGTACCTCAAAAAACTAGGATTGGAAGTCCCATTCAATCCAGCTATTCCCCTTCTGGGTATCTTCCTAAAAGAATTAAAACATCACACTACAGTGATATATGGGTAGCCATGTTTATAGCAGCACAATTGGTAATAGTCAAATCTTGAAAGCAATCCAAATGTCTATCAGTCAAGGAATACATTTTTAAAAGATGCGAGGTTTTTTTATATAATGAAATACTACTCCACCCTAAAGAAAGATAACCTGGAGGCTTTTATAGGTAAATGGATGTAACCCAAGACCATGCTTATAAGTGAAGTAAACCAGTCTCACATGTGTAAACATCATATTGCCTCACTAGTGTGAGAATCTGAGCCAGTAATTAAGATCCAAAATGTGCAGTAGGTATTGTGAATTGGGAAGAAATGTTTCAAAAAAAAGTCAAACTATTATAGAGGAAAGGAGAAAAAAAGAAAGATTTGTGCTAATATTATATGAATGAGTGTTAGCTTCTTGAACTGGTTCTACCTGGTCTTTAGAGGGGACATTATTTCTTCTAAAGAGAGAGGTGACAACAAGACAGATTACAATTCAGAAAGAATAAGAATGAAACTGTAAAAATGGTAGGTTTTTCTTTGACATAGGGCAAAGAGATTAATGTTCATTTCTAAAATATCATTAGCCATATAATGGATAATTTTAGCACTTGACATAAATGGAAAACAGTTATAATACTTCACTCGCTGGGCTAAGCTTTTCTGTGACTAAACAAGCTCTCTAATGACTTATTAGGGAATATTGTGCTTTCAAAGATGTTAAATCCAGGGGGAACAACTAAAGCAATTAGTCTTCGATCTTGAAAGAACTTCCAGCTTTGAATCATCAAACCAGATTGATTTAAGGTTAGACACTCTAACGATGATATTGTTTACACTGGAAAACAATATGTAATGTTCATATGGTGGTCAGAATTGTCTCACAGATATAAAGAAATTAAGGGATATAATTTAAAATAAGGAAATGAAGGAAATGAGAGCATGGTTCAGCATTTTCTTTACTTTTATTTAAATGTTTTAGCATCCAGTTTATAACCACGAAGTCATTGAAAACTACTACCTAGTCAAAAAAATTGTTTACACATAGGCTGAGCTCGTAGGCTAAAAGTAGGCAGGTATCAGGCTATAACTCAAAGTGTGGTGCTGAGAAAGGGGAGAAGAAGAAACTGGGAAGGATGTAGGTACATGAACAGATATGAGAAGAAAGGTGTGAGCTGAAAATGTCAGAAGAGGAATCAAGAGTAAATGACTTTGTGGCTGTAAGAACACACACAGTATCAACAACCTCTCCAGAAATTATTTGACTGACATATAAGCAAATCAATGATAAAAGAGGATTGATAGTGAAAAATGATTGAATAGAATTTTTGGAAGAAAGTTTAAAATTGATTTCAGCCAGATGCAGCGGAGCATACCTATAATCCCAGCATTCCAGAGGCTGAGGCAGGAGGATCACTTTGAGTTTGAGGCCAACCTGGGATACATAGTGAGTCCAAAGTCTCCCTGTACTGCATACCTAGATTCTGTCTTAAAACAAACACACAAATTATTTCAGCATACTGAGTCTCCTTTTACAAAGCACATTTAATTAAAATAAAATGTACCACTAGGTGTGCTGGCCCACTCCTGAAACCCAGCACTCAGGAGGCTGAGACAAAAGGAACAGTGATGCCCTATCTTAAAAAAAATTACCATACTAGCACACACACTAAAAGACACTGAATGTGTTGGGTGTATTTTGGTTGAAATGTTAAGACTTTGTGTTTCTATTGAATCAGAAACTTTTCCCCTATATATTCCTATATAGTTCTTTTTAAACATTCAAGCACTGTGCGGGCTAGAGGACTTGAAGAGAAACACAGAAAGCTCTTGAACTCCAGGAGTCCCCTCTGATCAGGGACAATCTTGGACAAACTGTAATGGAGAGTATACTGTTACTGAAACACTGGGGTTGTGTCCCATGGTGACAAAGAATAAAATTACAGATAGAGGAGGTAAGATAGAAGTAAATTTATCTAAAAGATATAAAGGCCAGAATTTGCAAAGTGTGGTGGTATAGACCTGTAACTCCAGTACTTGGGAGGCTGAGGCAGGCAGATTGCCATGAGTTAAAGCCCAGTGTGGGCTACATAGGGAATCCAAGGCTAGCCTGAACTACATGGGAAGATCCTGTCTCCAAAAAAAGCTAGAAAGTAAAATATAGAGGTAAGGAAGTAAAAGATATAAAAGGCAAGTGTCATGGTCACATCTGGGAGACCAGCTGCCCAATAAAAATTAGAGGGACAAAGTTTAATTAAAGGAAGACCCTTTATATATATATATAAAGGAAAATAGGAGAAGGAGAAGATAGTAATCTACCCTGATAAGAAAGAATCAGGGTAGGGACTCTGGAAAGATGTAAGACATATGGAGCTTTGTTCTTGGCTGCTTTTATGGGGGGGGGGGTGTAGAGGGCCCTTTTCCCCCACTTAGGACTTAACCATAACTGGGTTATGTTCTGGGCACCTCTGCCTATGTCATCTCTTCAGATGATCTACATGCAGCTGCTTTATGCTCACTTGTCTTTGACCTAATTTTTAAGGCCTTATCTTTGAAGGGAGGAGCCAGTTTGCAAGGGGACGCCTTATCCATGGCTAGGGTAGAGTTAGTAAAGGGGCGAGTGGATGGCTAGTGAATTCTGTGATGACCCTAGGGTAAATAATATGGTGACTCTGGAGTGAATATACAGGCACGTGTATGCATACATTGGTGCAGAGGTGTGAGTATACACTCGTATACAGAGCCTTCCCCAAGTTAGCCAGCCCACCTTGCTCCCCTTTGCTTGCCCCGAATTCTGTTGCAGATGGCAGTGTCTCACTGTGTGTGCCTGCTCTGCCCTCTCTGGCCTCCTGCTGCAAGTCCCAAGGCTATCTGGGGCTTTTCTTTATCTGTTCTTTCTCACTTTCTCTATCCCCATCCTTGATCTCCTTCCCACAGGAATTTCTCTATTAAAGTTTATTTTTAACTCTTTGTAGCCAGGACTAGCTAGAAGACCAATGAGGCCCCTGTTCTATTCTTTCCCTGTCCATCCACAGACCACTGACCCTAAACAAGCAAGTAAAGCTCCTGCTAGCCAGGAGGGAGTTCTGAGTAGGAAACCCAGGAAGGCTCTTTGTCTAGGAGTTTGTAAGAGATCTAGAAGGGAGTTTGGGCTGTTGTGTGAGCAACAGAATCTCTACACTGTAGAATACTTTGTATTTTTCAGGGTGCAATCTATGCAGTGACCACAAGGCCCATGCGTCCTTAAGCTGAAGACCCGCCTCATTGTCCTCTGCGGAGGTCCCTAACAGCCATAGGATGCCTGGCAGCAGCAGACTCCACCGTGGGCTTTCCGACTCCACATTGGGGCCACGGTTCCCACTGCCTGATAGAACCCTAATTCTTGTCTCACTAATTCCCTTTCCAGTACTTGACTGATACAAATGGGGGGCAAAGATAGGAACCAGAAATAAGATATGGGGCGAGAAGCTACACAGCTTTGAGACTGAATGGACATGGGGTAAAAAACTCAAAAAGAGTTCAAGTGAATGCTGAGTTTTCACCTCAAAGAGTTGGGAGAACAGGGAGGAATCAGTCACAGAAAGAGAGAATCCAGGGAAAGGTAGCCATGACTTGTGATGTGCTGATGGTGACATTTAGGGCAGGGCTTCTCAACCTCAGCACTATTGACTATGAGGCCTACATTGTCCTTATTGGGGACCAGAGGGGCCTCTGTCAAGTTTTAGGGTGTTTGGCAGTGTCCCTGACTGTGGTCTACTGTCTGTTAGTAGCCCACTCCTGAAGGTTGTGTGCTGGACCTAGAAGGAATGATTGGTCACCCTGAGTTCTCTCAGGCCAAGTCTCTATGCCATGACCAGTGAGTAGGCAAAGCCAGCCACTTTTGCCTTTGAATGCTGGGAATCCCGAGGTTACTCTCTCTCCCTTCCCCAAAGTAGCTAGTTTAAATGAGGAGCAATTGAGACATGCACAACACTCACTCACCTGCAACTCAGTCTGATGACTATTTCCAGATGCGCCATGACTGTCACACTGGCTTCTGTGTTCCCATCCAGCCCATGGAGCCCTCTCCGGTCACAGGGACCAAGTTAACAAGGCCACAATCCGTGAGAAAGTCTTCATAAAGGCCCCAGGCATTGGGCCACCAACCCACAATGGAGAAGAACCAGGTAGCAGTCGCCAGTCCACCATCAAGCCTGAGTTCGCTTGTGGGCAATAAGGGTTTATAAAAATATATATCGTGCACCTGACTTACTGAGCATGTAGTGAGCACCAGCTCTCTACCATATGGGCTCTTACCCCCATTCCCCACAGTGCATATTCCAGCCACCACCTACAGGTGAGAAAGCACATTGTGACAGGTTAAAGGACTTTCCTCAACTCACGTGGCTTTGGGCAGAGTGAGAATTTGCACTCAGTTCTGTTTTGGTTTTGTGCTACTGGGGAACAGAAGCCAGGGCCTTCGCATTGAGCTACATCCTCCACCCTTTTTATTGTTTATTTTGATACAAGTCTTCACAAGTCACTAAATTATCCAGGCTAGGCTCTAAGGAGATCCTCCTGCCCCAGCCTCCCAGAGTACTGCACTACAGGTGTGTGCCACCACTCCTGACCATACTTTTCTAGTTGCAGAATATAAGGGTTAATTTGAGATTCACATGAACATCACTCAAAAATAAAGTACACTGCTAGATGAGTGTGTCTCCCTATTCTTGTTCCCCATCTAATGTACAGTATTTAAGGAGACTTTTCTGCCTACACCATTGGCTTTACCAGTAGTGACCATGTGACCGTCAGGAGTCAATACCAGTCTGTGACACTAGATGGCAGCAACAGTCCACCTGGACTGGAGCCTCCCGGCTTCCACTTTGGCCTCACTAGGAGCTGGGCTGTGGAATCTTCCTTGTTTACCTGCAACCTAGCTCCTCACCTGCTTGAAGACTCAAACCCTCCTCCTGCCAATACTCCAGCAGCCATGGAGCAAATGTGTGGAAACTAAGGAAACTGATAAAAGGCTGCGGGCACTGAAAATCAGAAAATGGACACACGAAACAAGCATTGATGGCAATCAAACCCTCACAGCCTGGCCCTAAATGTCTAAATAGAGCCTGTTCAGACCTTAACTGGTAAAAGCAAGCGCTAGTTTCTTATTGGCTCCTGGTGACGTCACTCCCCACTGAGGCTGGGAGAACTGGTTTTCTAGGTGTGTGATCTTTTATTCTATTAACTAACTTTCACTCCTGCAGGCCTCCCCGGACAGCTGAATTCAGTTCAGTGCTTCTCCCAAGCACATTCTTAGTAACAACAGAAAATCCAAGAAACCGAAGCGTAAAGTGGGAATTAGGCAAAGAAACTCTGCAGTGTCCACCATGGCCACACATGCAAGTGACACCAGCCCCCACCCTCACTCCAATGGTCACCCCCAGTTCTGACCAGCTGCTCTGGATGCACCCTGCACAGCAGAGTCCCTCGAAGCCCCAGTGATCCCCATGTGCGTCCAAGACTGAGAACCACCATGAGGGGCAGTCTGTAGTCCCGGGATCATTAAATTCCTGTCCCCATCCACCATTTTAGATACCTTATGCCATGGGCACATTGCAAAATAAAAACCAAAACTGAATAAGAAAAGAAAATGTTGGCACAGGGTCTGAAGAATCCGAACCTGATGAAAACGTCAAGTGAAGTGTGTTTTTTTTTTTTCTTTTTCCAATTGGCACCATTCACTGCTCCCAAAGGTCAGCAGTGCCAGCCTGATATTTCCTTTCTCCATTTCTGAATGGGGCACTTGTGTCTGGTGCCCAGCAAACACTTGCTGGTTATCTAAGAGAAATCACGTGGCACTTTGACTTTGGTGTGACCCAGACACTTGTTTACATAGGATCCCTTTAACCCTCTACCGTTGATGGAGGTAAATACACACCTTCTGTGTGCTGCCCAGTCTACAGAGAGAGGCTTCCAATGCAGTTCAGGACAAGATGGCAGCGAGCCTGTCAACTCCATGAAACGCCACTCCGAGCCAAGCCGAGCAGGGGCAGTGTTATTTCTAATCACTCAAGGGCATTTAAAATGGGTGTGGTAGGCTGAATAATAGCCCCCACCCCAAGAGGCCTGCATCCTAACCCCTGGAGGCTGTGAACTGGGTTTGGGTAGGGAATTGGGCTGCAGATGGAGCTAAGGTTGTAGTCCACTGACTTTGAAATAGTGAGGTTGTGGAAGAGGGAGGCGCATGAGCAGAGCAATCAGAGGAACACAGTACTGAGAATTTGAAAAGGCAAGAACCTAACCCTCTAGGAGCCAGAGACAGACAGATTGCAAATCGAAGCCCAATCTGGGCAATTTAGTGGGATCTTGTTTCTAAAATAAATAAATAAAAATGGGTTGCAAATGTATCTCAGTGTGAAAGCCCTGGATTCAATCCCCAGTACCACAAAAATCAGTCAATCAGTGGAAGATTCTCCCCTAGAGCCTCCAGGAAGGGAGTCCTCCCTCCAACACCTGGCTTTGGACCAGTGGAACTTCTGACCATCAGAAGTGTAAGGTGATAAATGCGTGTTGCTTAAGCTGCTAAATGAGGGGTGACCCTTAGATCCCACTATTCCTAGGGGAGCCTTCTTTTGCCTGACCTGTCTAGGCTTCCCATTCTTGTTTTCTCCTCTGGGACAAAGCTTGGCTTTTAGCACTTGTCCGGTGGCTTCGATTCCTTGAACACCTATCCAGGCTTCTCCCTAATCCCCTAAAGCACGAAGGCTATTGTCACTTTTACATCACTTTCCAGCTGCAGAGTCCCTTCCCTGAAGTCACTGCAGAATAACTAGATTCCAAATGTGAACGAGCACAAATGTTCAGGAATGAACGGAAGCCGGAGTCAGCACCAGCCCACCAGAAACCAGAGGGCAGGCACAGAGCTGCTCTTGCTGTGGTATCAGGGAAAGCTCGGCCGAGGAGGGTTGTATCTGTGCATCTGGCTATGCACTCCAGGCCATGCTAGGCAGGGCAGGGCTGCCTGTCTAAAGCAGCGTTCCCTGAGCTGACCGAGGGCCACTTTAGCATCTTCTGCAGGGGAGGGAGGATTCTGGCAGGCTCCAGGAGTCTGGGCTTCTGCCCTGGAGGTCTTTGTCTCCACCAAGCCTTTGTAATTGGATTTGTGCCCTAAGGCCAGTTGCTTATCTATTGCACTCATTTATCAAGTGTGAGAAATACCAGCCCTGTTCTCAGCTTTCTTTTGAGACTTGTGAAAAAGGAACAATGGAGATCAGCAGCCTGTGACTGCTGCCACGTGACACGCTGAGAGCCAGCGGGACCACGTGCCCGGAAGAGGCAGGGCCCCAGCAAAGTTCCTCTTGACAAGGGAAGGGAAAGGAGAGCTTGTCACCCTTGCTGTCACGTGACAGCCGCGGGGCGCGGAGCAACTGGTTGAGCCTCTGCGCCCTGGCTTGTGAGACCGGCTGTGAGAGCTGCGGTTTCCTGGCCACGCCCCCGGCCTCTCCTGCTTCTCTTTTTTGAATGTGAGTGCCTGTGTGACACTGAATGCAAGATAGCGCTGTGCTGCCTGCCTGGGCCCTTTTTATTTGATTGACTGAGTGATTCGCTGATTGAGTGAATACCGTTCAGAAGGATGTTGAACTCACTGTGTAGACCAGGCTGGCCTCAAACTCACAATGAGCCTTCTGCCTCGATGCCCCAAGTGCTGGGATTACAGGCATGAGCCACCATGCCCACTTTATTTTATTTTGGAGAGAGGGTTTTGCTAAATTGCCCAGGCTGACCTCAATCTTAAATCCTCCTGCCCCAGCCGCAGCAGCAGGAATTGCAGTCAGGCACCACCGCGCCTGGCCTCCTTGCCTTTATTTTACAGTGACGCAGCTTGTCAGTGTCCGATCCAGCTACATAGTTTGTGAACCTGGTGTCTAGTCAAAAAAACAATGAACACAGGGCTGGGGTGTAGCTCAGTGGTAGAGTGTTTGCCTGGGGGCACTGGGTTCAGTTCCCAACCCCAACAAGGGAAAGAAAGAAAAGGCAAAGCAGATTTAAGAATTTCCGGGTGACAGCAGCATGACAGTAAACCAAGCCTGAGGCCCTGCCAACCACATGTACCAGCCAGGCGGCCCTGAGCAGAATTAGCTCACAGCGGCAGAGGCAGAGGCCAGTGGCTGGGCTCAGAGCCTCCTGTCTTCAGCCCTGTGCCTCAGTGTCTGTCTGGGAAAGGGGAAGAGAGGCTGGAACTGTGGCAGTGCATTCCTGGCCAAGGGAACAGTGTGGGTGACAGCCTGGAAGGGAGGGGTGCTGAGGAACAAGAGGAAGGAGTGGCAATGGTGACACTTGGGTCTGCTGTGCTGGCTCCATAGAGGAAGTAGAAGTGTGCTGACAGGTCACATGAGCTCCAATGGAGACACTCTGAGGGCCACCTGAGAGCCACCAAGAGTGCTGGAAGAGTTAGAAGCAGGAGGTGACTAGGACAGAAGTAACTGTAGTGCACAGTGTGGGGTGGAGCTGCCTGGAGCCCAAGGGGTTTGTGACAACAGCACTTGCTGGCCCAGGGCCAAAAAGAGAGATTGTGGGGTAGAGGCAGGGAAATAGAGACAAGTGTTCAAGCTCCAGGCAAGACTCAAGAGCCAGGAATGGGAACCGCACGCCGGTAATCCCAGTGCCTAGGAGGCTGAGACAGAAGGATTGCTATATGTTTGAGGCCAGCCTAGGCTACACAGTGAGCTGAAGGCCACCCTGGACTATATAGCGTGACCCTATCTCAAAAAAAGAAAGGAAAGGAGAAGGAGAGGAGAGGAGAGGAGAGGAGAGGAGAGGAGAGGAGAGGGGAGGGGAGGGGAGGGGAGGGGAGGGGAGAGAGGAAAAAGCATTCCATCTGGTTATAGGGAATAGGGAAAAGGAAGTTTATGATACTTGGCCCTTTGGGCTGACATCAGGATGTCACCACCTACACACTATGCCTGTGAATACACAGTAAAAAGTACAAATCATCAGGAAGCCAGAACTCTTTGAGAAAAGGAAGCCAATTCAACTTCCTAAAAATAACAGCTGTTGGAAGTTAAAAACGCACCCATTTCTCAATTTGGGAATTTTTCTCCCCAAATATTCCCTTCTAGCTTGCAGAGGCCTAATCAGCCCTCTGATTATGTTCCTTGCATATAATTATACCACATAATAATAACAACAATTGTGAACTCCAGAGGAAACAAACAGTGCAATTCAAGCAAAACAAAATCAGAAAGAAAAGAAATGTTCCAAATCTCTCAGAGATTCTGCTCAACAAGGCTGCAGGCAGAGGCTTGGGACTTCTCAGCCCAGCTGCCTGGCTGGGAGCCCAGCTCCCGTTAGTTAGCAAGGTGACCTTGGACACGGAGGTAACCAGATTCCTGCCTTACAGTGAGCATGGCCACGTTACCCCTTTCCTCCATCATACCAGGTCACCTTGCTGTGACAATAAAGGGGGAATGTCCGCGGTGAACCCAAGCAATACCAAAGGTCAGGAATATCCTTATAAAATGATTGTATCCTTATCATGACCATCTATTCATTCACAAGGTGGCACAGGGACACTACTGACTCGACCATGTGACAGGCCTTCCTACTGCCCCAGAAGCTGAGCAAGAAGGGCGCAGGGGCCTGACCACCACGTGGGCGGGTGATCAACAATGTGTCCAGCAGGATATCAGAAACCTGAGCTCGAGGCCACAGGAAGGAGAAGCAGACCCACATCCACCGCTGTTTTGGAAGGAGTGCTCTCCAGATTAAGGACAACATCCCCACTTGCTTCCCCAGTCCTGTCACCCATGACAGTTATTCTTTCAACAAGCATCACTTATTCAGGGCTGATGTTACTTGTGCTGCAGACACAAACACAAATGAGATAAGCCACGGAGCAGATCCTCACAATGGACAGGGAGAATGGGGCATCAACAAATGGCAACAGAAGTGCACACCAATAATCCCAGAACTCGAGAGGCTGAGACAGGAGGATCACAGTGAGTTTGAGACCAGCCTGGGCTACAGAGAAAGTTCAAGGACAGCCTGGACTACATAGTGAAACCCTCTCTCCAAAAACCAAGATGAAAAAAAGCACACACACAAGGAAAATGGGGACAAGTATCATGACAGAAGGCTCTGAGGCATGAGGACTTTGTCTCTATCATTCCCAGTGTCCAAGCTTGACATGGCCCATGCCTCTGGCACAAGTCTCTTGGGTGACTGAGATAAAGAGAAACTTCCGTAATGGTGACAGTGTTATGCCTCTCCTTGGGATGGTGGGGACTAGGCCACCTTGGATTTTGAACATCCGCTTAAAATATAAGCACTTTGCTTCATGTAAATAAAGCTCATTTGAGTTGACTGCTAAGTGTCCACAAGGGAAGGTACCCTGTTTCACTGTCACGCTGTCACGGGTGTCCTGGCCAGACACGGGGGGTGGACTTTCTGTATTCTCAGGTGTGGGCAACCCGCAAGAGTACAGAAGGTGGGCGCTGAAGCTGTATGTGTCCCCAGGAGGGCTCCTGGTTCTGAATCCTGTCTTCAGGTGGCCACCAGGACACCGCCACGGGCGTTCCCCTGTGTGAACACAGACTTTCGCTGAGGCCCCCAGAGTGCTCTCTGCAGTCATGTCCCCTTCTCCACTCTCTCCGCCCCCCTCCCTCTCCCTTCCTCCTGCTCTCTCTTTCCCACTCCCTCCCTCGTCTTCTTTCCCCTTGTGAACAGAGCTGGGAACCTCATCCAGGGGGCCTGAGGTTTGCTGGGGGTAGACAGGCAGCTGAAGTAGCAGTGAAATCTGTGAAAGCATCTATGCTTTCTCTTTTAGGGTAGATTGCCACAAAAATCATGGGCCACACCACTACATTACAATTTCAGAAAAATGTATTTTTATTGGCAGAGGGGTAACTTTTGCCTGTAATCCCAGCATCTGGGAGGCTGAGGCTGGAGGATCACCAGTTTGAGCCCAGGCTAGGCAGCTTAGTGACACAAGGAGATTCTATCTCAGGATAAAAAAAAATGAAATGAAAAAGAGCTGGGGATGTAGCTCAGTGCAAAGGCCCAGATTCAATCCCCAGGACCTCAAAAAAATTTTTCCAATATAAGAATTTTGGAGAGATTGCATCTGATATACTAAAAGTGATTCGTCCTGGATCTGAAACTTCAGCTTCCCTGGGCACCCTGCGTTTTCATTGGGTCACCTGGCAGTGCTTCTCTTGGGGTGCCTGTGACAGCAGTAGTAACCTTTAAGGCCCACTTGGTGGCCTCAGAGCAGTAGAGCCCAGACTCAGTGCCATGCAAGTAGAAAGGACAGTGATGGCACAGAGGGCCAGGTGTGACTCGGGTGGCAGACCCGGAGGGGGTCACCGGGCATTTCACTGCAACCCTGAGCTGCAATCGTAGTCAGGACTTGGGGTACAGAGCAGTGGCTGACAGGGAGGAGATGTGCTACCCCTGCCCTTGGGTTCCTTCCACAGCACCTCCTGAGCTTGCTGCCCCCCCCTCCTGGCACTTGGCTTCTGAGGGAGCCCTGGGAGAAGCGACGGAAAGTCACTCCCACATAAGGTAGTCGCTGAGGAATGATGAAACCCCAGGAAACCTCTGTGCCTCTCCTGCTGGGGCACCTAGCCGGGAGCCACAGTGCTGGCCTGGGGACTGGCTGCTTCTGATGTTGCTCTGTGTGTGCCCAGAGACCTTGGGCCAGTGACTCAACATGTGCCTTGTGTCCCCATTTATTACAATCAAGCAGTGCAAACTGTCTAGCACTACAAATGTTAGTGTCTTTGCATCAAAGCAAAATGTACATGTATAGATTTATTATCTATTATGCATTGCTTTAAGTGTGAAGCTCACTTGCCAGTGACATACTTACAGGGCCCTTGAAAGTCAAAAATTAGGTAGCAGGCACAAAATAGCAAAATGAACAAAACCCAGCCCTGTATAAATCCTACTTTTATAGTGTTCAACCTGATCACCTGTGCTTTGGTTTCAAGAAACCACACGTGACCATTCAAAAAAGCGTACATGTGTATCACTATAGATTCCAAGAGCAGGTTCGCTGTATGGCTAAATGTGATGCCACTAAAACGTACTATTGTGTTCACATTGAGCAAGGAAACATCCCAGGAATAGCCACTGTGACTAGGGCGGCTGTCACTGAGGCCTGCACCTGGCTGGTTTCCAGGTCCACAGGGCAGGACAGAGGTCTGCTAGGGTCTTATCTGGCCTCAATTTGAAAAAAGACACACTTAAAACTAAGCGTCCTTCTGCCCTTTTAAGGACACCAGCCCCTTGTGCTAGAAGCCAGCAGGAAGTCCCCCTCCTGTGTCTCGGCTGGCGCCTGGGCTGCCGGTTTCACTTCCTTGAAGGTTTTTTCTTGTTCCTTACCAGGGCAGGTTGTGTGAAACGCGTCTAAAGCAGGAAAATACACAGGAGCAATTCTTTTTTTTTTTAATTTTTTTTTTTTTTGTCTTTTTCCTTTTTATCGGTACCAGGGATCGAACTCACGACTGCCTGCTTGCAAGGCAGGAGCTTATGCCGCTGAGCTAAATCCCCAGCAGGAGCAATTCTTACATATATAAAGCATGAAGGAGAAATAGCAAAAGGCGTAGGTAGTCACAGCCCTCCCCCCGACACAGGTGCCCTGTGCTTACTGTCCAAGCGTGCCCTTTGCAAATGGAGCCTCCCTGGCCTGACCCCCGGGCAAGCTCTGCTGAAACCTCCTGACATTGCCTTTCGCAATCACCCGGAGGAGTCACTGTTGTCCAGCCCTGAGACTCCCTCTATTTCACTTAAGGGTAACCTGGGACATCGCTCTGGGCATGGTGAGTAAACCTGCCTGGGCCTGTGCCTAGGGGCTGCTGTGTGCATAGCTCAGGGCTCTAGCAGATCTTCTCATTAATATGCGCTTACTGCCTTCCAGCCTGACAGCGCTGCATGTACTGCACAGGCAGGAATCGATGCATAAGTGGCCAAAGGTAGCTGTGGGATGTTGCCTCTGGGGGACCCAGGAATGCTGCTGTGGTGGTGAAGGCCCCGGCACAGTGTCCTCTTCCAACAAACCAGCTCTGTGCTTTCCCACATTCTGGCCAGCTGCAAGCCAGACTCAGTATTTTCACTTTTGTCCTTTGGAAAGGCACAGAGAGGGCCCCTTGCCGGATTTGCATTTGAAAGCCTAACCAGCAGCCTTGCTTCCTGCCTGGGTCTCGCTCTGCTTCTGGGCTCCCGAATTGTAAGGCCTGAGCTTTGCAATGCTATAGGGCTGCATACAATCCACCTGGTATCCCCAGAGCCTCACCCTTTCCATCTGTAAAATGAGCTCCCACAAGGTCAACTTCAGGAGGGTCACTGGGAGATGGCAGTAAAGCAACAAAAGCTGGGTGTGGGGACACAGACCTGTCATCCCAGCACTCTGGGAGGCTGAGGAAGGAGGATCACAAGTTTGGACCCAGTGTGGGCAATTTAGCAGCTTAGTGAGACCCTTCTCAAAATTCAAAATTAAAACATGGAACTGGGAATATAGCTCAGTGCAAAAGCCCTGGGTTCAATCCCCAGTATTACAAAAATAAAAGATCATCACTAGGAATCCATTTCTCATCAAAGCAAAACATAATATGTTGATGTATTTAACTATAATTATTATATACATTTATTTAAACCTATATATTATTATACTGCTTTGACTTAGTGAATAGCAGATTATATTTTTATAGTTTCTGAGACCTCATCTTCCCTCACTTGCTGCCCTGTACTCAAAGGGGAAAAACAAAAATAAAGTGCTGCAAAATAAAACTTGAAACTGTCATGCCCACCAGTTGGTCTCTCCGCATGACTCGGAACTAGATCTTTCTCTCTAAAGTACAGTGATATTTTTACATACACAAAACGTTTCTTCACGGAATTCAAAAGCTCTAGGGGGGCTGGATCCCCCTAATGTTCAGCCCACTTCCTCCAGCTGGGTAAAAAGAAAGGAGAGTTTCAGTGAAAACTAGGCTGGGCATGGTGGTACACGCCTGTCATCCCAGACCTCAGGAGGCTGAGGCAAGAGGATCACCATGAGTTTAAGGACAGCCTGGGCTATACAGAAAAACTTTGTCCCAGAAAGTAAATAAATCAATCAAACAGGCACAGTTGCAGGTTAGTGGAGACCCTGTGGACCTCTAAGCAAGGCAGGAAGGTGCCAGGGAGGGGCATCTTCTGCTTCCTGGTCCCTACATCCTGTTTGGCTTAGCCTCTGATGCCTTTGTTTTTTTCTTCTGTGGGTTTAGGAATCAAACACAGAGCATTCACACAGGTCCACCAGGCTGCATCTCCTGCCCTTTACATATTTTGGCACCAGAGAATCAAACTAGCCAGCCCTCTGCCACTGACCTGCAGTACCCCCAGCTCCTTTTTATTTTCCATTTTGACAGAGGCTGGCATTAAATTGGCCAGGCAAAATGTAAACCTGTAATCCTGAGATGAATTCAAGAGCGTGTCTCAAAAGAGAGCCACTTTCCGGTGAGTAGCTGGGCAGATAAGACCTGCACGGAGCGGTCAGTGCTAACACGGGCAAAAACGGAACCAGCACAAGGTCAGAGTGTTCCTCCTGCTGCATGCCCGCTGCAGAGAGAAAGCTCATGTCTAATCGCGAGGAAACATCAGTCCAACCCCAATGAAAAGGACTTCCATGCAACAGCTGGCTTGCTTCCAAAACATCAGCGCTGTGGAAGCTGGGAGGCCAAAGAAGTCCTAAATTAAAAGATGCCAGCTGGGTCTGACAGCTGAGTACACTGCAGGATCTTGGGGAGGGTGGGGTCCGGCCCAGACAGATGTGGGAAGGACATTGTCAGGCTCAGAGACTGAAAGTGAAGAAGGTCTGGAGATAAGATAGCAATACTGTGGCCAAGGGACAGGTCCTAGCACTGATAACTGTCCGATGACCATGTCAGAGAGGGCCTTGCTCTTGGTGAATGCACACATAGTGTTTGAGAGGGAAAAAGAAACATCATATTCCCAGCTAATTTTTAAAATAGTTTTTTTTGTTGTTTTATTTTGTTTTGTCAAACTAGGGATTGAACCCATGCCCTTTGCACTGAACTGCGTCCCTAGCCATTCATTCAATTGTTTGTTTGTTCATTCAGAAAGAGGATCATGCTATGCTGTGTAGTCCAGGCTGGCCTTGAGCTCACTATGCAGATCAGGCTTGTCTGGAATTCTCAGAGATCCTTCTGCCTCAGCCTCCCCTATGTTGGGATTATAGGCATGCGCAACCATGCCCAGCCCCAAGCACTTTTTTTAGTCTTCTTTTTTGAGACAAGTTCTCCCTAAATCATTAAATTGCCTGAGCCAGGCTCAAACTTGCCATATTTCTGTGTCAGCCTCCCAGAGTTC